TATGTTTATATTGCCTGTACGCTCCGTCCGTGTCAGTTCGTCTGTATTCTGCCCAACAGTGCCTTTTTCGGCTTAGCAGGCGAGCAGTACATTTCTTGATTATTGTATGTGGCTCGAAGCTTTTGGGAACCGTTTGAGGAACTGAATGATTTGTAGCGTGTGCAGTAAGAATTCCCAATGCCCGTCCACATCGAGTTGGGGGTGAACATCCCAAACCACCCGTTGTAGATAGTCGTGTAGAGGTGGCACATTCAACCGTTTAAAATTCCAACGCAAGTTATTGGTGGGATAGCTTAGCTTAGTTTTGCTGACAAAACTGAAGGCTATGACGGCATGATCGCTTTTCCCAGGGGAGCAAGGATTGAGAGGTTGGCAACTAGGAATTCTTCGTTTTGAATACACAGTCTAAGCGCGATGGTGTCTGACTGTTTCTCCAACGGTTTGCCGACCTCAAATTTTCATATAATCCCAAGTCATCGACGAGGTTGAAGAAATGGGCTTCAATTGAATTATCACCTCCAATATACGTGTGATCCGCGAAGTTGACTCTAGGGAAATTAAAGTCCCCTAGAATCAGGATGTGTGTGAAACCGAGACGAGTAGAGCGGGATAGTCCTTCCAGCATACGACTATCGTACTCGATGTCGGCAGTTGGCTTCCTGTAAATGACTCCGACTAGACACTTCGAAGTACTTGACAATCTTACAGAGCACCATATGGATTCCTCAAGATTGTTAAATTCAAGGTTGTGAACTGGTGCACCTCCAAGCAAGGACGTATGTATAGGGCTACTCGCCCCAATTCCTGATTTTCTGTCGTTGCGGAACAAAGACATCCCAGGCAATGCTAACTCTTGGTCCGAGAAACGAGAAGATATCCAGGTTTCAGATATTCCTATCAGATGGGCCTTATCAACGTTGCTAAGTCCACGTAATTCATCCAATTTGTTTGGTAGACTCGCGGCGTTCATATATAAGCAGTTTATGTTTTCCATTTGGAACGCGTGAGCTTCGTCCTGTTGTCTGTATGAGCCTTACGTGAATGCACAGGTAGCCTACCTATATGAGGTTTGCCAAGGTGGTAGGCCATGTCCTTTACACGTATTTTTATGGTCTAGACAGTCCACAAGTGAAATGGTCAGCTCCATCTTGCCTTTGTGCTTGGTCCTAGCTTCGTATGCCCAATTCGGGTGCATGTGGATTCCAGGTGGCAGACGACATCTGTTTGCACGAAATGCTTCCAGAGTTGCAGCCGCCATGTGGGGGGGATGGAATATTGTCTTCATTAGACGGGGTCTAGGGTCACTATCCTTCTTGGCTAGCTCGTCATATGCTGAGTCAGTATGTGTTCGAACCTCAAGGACTGTTTAATGAATTTACATTCTCTGATGTCAGAACTTGATTGAGTAGGGTCCGTATTTTCCGGTATACCTTGCACAATTATGTTTCTCAGGAAAAACTTCTCGCGAGATTCTTTAAGGGTGTTCCGTATGATATTGCGCTCAGAGTACGGTGTGTCGGGCAATATTCTTACGTTACCATCGATTTTCAGCAAGGGCCATGCTAGCAAGACGTCCCCTCCGTCAATAGCATTCTTAAGTGTTACTCGAGAAGCCTCGGGTGATTTAGATGCTTAGAATCCTTTCCTCGAGTGAGCCGGGTGACCGTCAAAGGCTCTATTCTGGGAAGTTCGAGCTCTTTGTTCAGTTCACCTCACAGCATCCTGTCATTTTTGTCCTGCAGACTGAGAGGAAGGTCAGGATTTTCAATGAGATTCATGATTATGAGAGAATCGCCGCGAACTGTTGTTGATTTACCAAGTTTCCTGATGGTTTCAGGTTTAATACCTTGTTGTTTGGAGGCCAAGGCACGTTTTTGAATTTTGGGCTCCTTAGTGACCGGACGAACATTCTTGGGGTTTGACTGTGGACCAAATCACCAGTTGTTTTCCGTACAACAATACTTGGGATGCTCAGCTTAGGCAGTGGCACCTGGTTCTTCTGGGCTCCGCTAGCGTAGGTCAAATCATCTACAGGGTTTTGGGTAACCACTGTTGTGTTCGGGAACCTTGACCTGGTAGAGCCGAGATTACTTGGAGAGTCTAATACCCTCGAAGTAATGATGGTGCTGATCTTCATCACGTTATCATTAGTGCTGAAGGATGCTCCATCGATGGTATACCTGTCGACATCCCTAATCTTGTGCTCGTTGCGCGCTCTTGTTTGTTTACCCGTTTTTTTAGTGTCGTTATCCAAGTTTGCTGACAAATTGATCCACAGACCTGTCAGTAGGACGATGATGTTACTCAGCAAAGACTGCAGTGTCCGTGCTGCATGTGACACATACCCACATTTGGTCCGACTTGCTGAGTCTGTTGTAAGCATTTGCCGTCAGATATGTGCACGCTTCGTGTAACCAACCTTTGCAGTTTTCGTATTGCATGCCAGTTGTAACAGCGAAACGGCATCCCGGACGTTTGCATGAGTTTCTTATGACTAAGTTGAAGCAAACTATGTAATAGACGCTTGAAAATGCCTAAGACCGTAAAAAACACTAAAAAGCACACTGAAAACGGACAAAAATGGATAAAAATCGGATAAAAACGAGTGAGATAAACTGAAATAGTCTTTACGTGAAAACTTAAAAAAAACGAACAGTAAGCTGAGGCAAAACCACAGTTATTTATTAAATATGGTGAAACTAAAAAATAAAACATACCGAACGTATAGCTCAGATTAGATTCTTCAGAACTGAAATATTACTTTTGTTGCGTAAGAACACAGCAAAAGTTTGATAAATGCAAATCACGTTAGTACTAAACATCCTGTTCGAAATGCGCGCGCGTACCTCAAAACTTGTTGCTGCATTTATCATTAGGTGAAATACTTTAGCTATCGCCTGTTATTCGTTCACTTGTTAATGCTTAACGTGTTTAATATAGTGTTCAACTGTTGTGTTATTTTTAAAATTTATACAAATCATTTCCTGTTATTCTGTTACTACGTGTAGTGCGTTTAAGTCGTATTCATATAGCGAATATAGTGTGGGGAGCTAGGGTTGCGGTTCCTCATCTCAGTGTTTTTTCCGTTCGATTATTTTTCTGCTAGCCTTTATTTTGTCTTCAACTCATGCTTGTATAATGCTTATTTCTAGGGTTACTATACTAGTCATTTTGGGCGAGACCGTTAATTTATGTACGAACCGACCTGAAAGAATATATCAGGTCTTGAATTTTGTTCCAAAATTCATTTATCCATAAAGCTAATTGGTATTTAGGCACCAAATGATGTCAGTTCATAGTGAAAGCCTCAACTTCAATTCCTAACCCTGACATTCAATTGTCAATCCTTGTCCTGATTCTTCACACAAATCTACAACGTTTGTGTAGTTCCAGCAAGTAGTTGGACATTCTTAAGGTCATTTAAGCACCACCTGAAGTTCGTGCATAGACTGAAGTCCCTCTGTCATTTACGAAGCACTTTATCAAACCACTGTTTGGAGCCTGTGAGTCTTATTTTAACAGGTATTCTTGTATTTTGTCGTGCAACCTGGTCTTCTTTTAATAAGTAAGCTTATCATGTAAGAACTGCCATTGCAAGCACCGCTACTCTTATCAGTAGATTGTGTGGTCCTTCCCGTGTACTCACCTTAAAAGAAAGTCCTCAAATGCCCTGGTACGGCCGAGGGTGGGAGAATTAGCTCTCTCTCGAAATGCTCTCACATAGCCACGCGTATACAGCCACTGCCAGGGAAGTCCTACTCACTGCCTTCCCGTGTTGCGGGTGTTGTTTACAAAATTGAGAGGACGAAAAGCGAATTTCCGGTGCTTTAACCGGGTTGGTGGACACTGAGAGTCCACCTAGGGGAGTGGAAGACCCTGACTCCAAACCGATAGTACATATGGGCTCCAGTATCCTGAAGGGACAAATGGTGTATGAACCAATCGTTGGTCACCGGCTGCTATATGACTGCATCTGCTCCACTGCCTTGTTGATCAGACCTTTAGGTCGAACGCTCTGAGTGTGGCGCCTTAGGAATACCACCTGCTTCAGTTTGGGCATCCGGGCAGTATCGTGGCCCAAACACAATTCAAGTGACGTGTGTGGCGCTTATGCATTCGGTGCCCCTTTGTACCCATATTTATGTGTTCAAGTAAATAACAAGTGTTCAACTTGTCTATAAAGTGTTCCTAGTGTTGCGATAATATCCCAGTCAGGTGGATAGGTCAAAATTTAAGTACGGGTTTTCATTTTAATTCCAAAGATCGTGCTTACTATGGTATTATTCCGGTCACTTGTTGTTGGGTCTGACATGTACATGTTTTTTCTACTCTGCAAGATGTTCTGAAATAGTCTGTCGAGAATGATAACAGATGTAATACATCAGACCGCATGATGTACCAGAGCTTAATATCATTAAGTCATCGAACAACGGTCGCTACTTTCATAATTTTCTTTCATATTTAAGTGCATGTGATACGACTAATTGACCCTTTGGTATTCGTATTTTATTAGTATGTTATTGGTCATGCTCCTGTCAATACGTGTATATCGAGTTTCACTTTTGACCCTAAAGTTGTTTCAAACGTTTCGTTATTGTAACTAACGACTTTAGTATAACATGCGCTCACAATGCTTGAGACGACCTGTTTTGTCAGTACAGGCCGTGAAAGTATTAGACTCTACAACTTTACTGCCTTTAAATCCTTAATTTCTAGAAAAACCATCCATTATGCTTGATATTCAAGTGTTTGGTTAATAGTAGCAGTTTTTTTTCAAATTATCAACCTGCCCTAGTTCTTACAAAAAGTGCTATCGTGAAATTGTTTGAATGTATTTACGTTCTAAAGCCAGTGCAAAACTAACGTTGATTTATACTGTTAATAGCTACTAGATTCTTGCATGTGATCCACCATAACTGGCTGCATTAAATAAAATTCCCACAACTTGATGTCGCACTTGACTATTTTCCACGCATTCCTGGATCACTCTTTTCCTCAAGATAATTACATTGATTCGGAACCTAGCTACGAAAGATTAGCTCGTCAAGATGTAGAATGCACGTCTTATGAAGCAAAACTTACTCGTGAATGTATTGGAGGTCAATTAAATCTCACAGATTTGTTTTGCGAAAATATTTTTCCCACCGAGTGTGGTGTCACCAAGTTTGGAGAGATGAAGGTTAGTTGAGTGTTTTCTTGTCATATTTTTAGACTGAGGCTGTTATCGTGCGTGCGATCGAAAAAGTTAGGGATAGTGTTTTTAACAAACTTGGTTCTCGACTTTCTCATAATCGGTCTGTACTCAGACCAGGAGCTATCAAATATGAGTCAGCAGCAATTGATGTTGTTTTGGATGCCTCTCTCTCAATTGTTCCTCGTGAGACTTTGGCCAATTGGACTGGTTCAACTGAAATTGGCATTAGTTCTTCGTCAAGTACTGAAAGTTTGAATCATGGTAAGAGGGTAGATATAAATAGGAAAACAAAAGAGCTGCTGGAAAAAAGAATTCGAAATTCCAAACCTCAACCGTCATACATCTTTCAGGTACGCTTTTGTGTATTAATGTCTTAAATATCTGGCATTATGTGTTCAAATGGTTATTTGTACAAAATTTTGATGGGAACTGAAGTTGATAAAATATACTGTGTAACTGTCTCTTGACTTTATTGTACGCTTTCTACCCATCACCCACCAGTAAGTGGAATATAAACAGTATGTCGCTCCTATTATCATGGTTGTAGCTAGTTGGTTAGGTATTTCCTAACGTTATATTTTGTATAGCTTAAATACTTAATACAAGAAAGTGCACTCACCACTTCTGATACCGCCGTCTATATTGTTGTGTATCGATCATTGACGTTTCTAATAACGACTGTGGGATATAGTTTAATTGTGGGTCATCTCGATTTCTGAGTGTACTTTCGGTTGCTGTGGGATCCCGACTAGCGGGATGTCATGTGCAAGGTAATGAAAAGATATAACACCCTCACAACTGTTAACTCTTCCTTCAGCCACAGAAACATCCTTAGGGACTAATATACCGCTCGTTTAACTCTAAATCATTAACACACTGAAGGCTGATACTATGTTATAGTAACTGGACCCTTTTTGGACAATGGCTTTAAACTTCACGAAGTCTACAGGCAATAAACTTTAATCGTTGACGAGAACGGTAACCAAAGTACTGTCTGCATTAGGTGGTTGAAAGTTGTGGATCTGAGAATTAGTCCTTTTCTTGGTTTGTCATCGTCACAACATCTTATGATAACGCGGTAAAGTAACTATACAGAACCACACAACACATAAAAACAACATCAAGTTTTGTTGTGCGCTAAAAATTGACTAGTTCGGGTCATACTATATGGTTCCTGTGACAACTGAACGATTGCTGCACTTTTGTTTTAATTTTAAAGTAACGAGTTTCAGTATTCCATATGCTTCAACGTGACTATTTATTTCGATAAAAATCTCAGTTGAAATATGGCTTCAATAAATAGTTTTGTCGAACTGTTTTCATATTGTGAACCAAAATGACCGCAACACGAATACTCAAAACTGATTTCTATATATCTTCTGTTAAAGTCTGTTGATAAAATATCCTGAGAGTATATTCCACTTAATCAGCATTTATTTTATGTAGGGCGTTTAACTTTTAGTTTTCCTTAGCATCATTGACTCGAGTTATTTTTATGTTGTTTTGATTTTAACCACAGTAATATGAATTTTCACACTTCTGTAGATTTTATTGGTGTGGATGTATCATTCAAAACTACAGATTGTCTTATCTATAACATAAGTTATTGTGTAGTCGTGTATCATGTTGCTACATACTCATAATTCTGAGAAAAAGTCTACATCATCGCATATAATTCTGATTTGTCATTTACTAACTAAGCACTTACCTTTCAGCTAGTAGGCTGCTGGTTAAAACTATCACTTAAAGCGATTTGAGCAACCAGAGAGAATCATTGGCCCTCACACAAGGTGTAGATCAACACCAATTCCCGACCGAAGCTGCTACCTTGACGCGGTGGTCGGGCTTGGCTATCGTGATGACCCAACGGAGCTATATTGGCTGGAACATATGTTCCTGTAGGTTCTACCATGCCAGGCAGGTCGATTGGTGAACGGTAAGACTAAAAGCAGCAACTCAAGGTCTGAGGGCAAAGTCGTACTGCTGACTGTAGAGGGCTGTGACAGCAGTAAGGTGTTTCCCTCGGACAACCAGCATCTACAGTGATGCTGCCTTCCCACAAGGAGGGGTGGGGTTAGAAAAGGTCGACCCTAAAAATGTCACACCTCACCTTACCTCACGGATTTCCGTCTCCGGCGGTAAAGCCCTTTGAAGAACGGAGCTAACACATTAAAAACCTTCCACGAAAAGGCCGTGCGCGACCGGCCTCAAGCAGCTGTCCCTTGGGCTCTGCGGTAGTTAAGGCCAACATTAATCCAATTTCCTTTTCATGTTCCTCAAGAAATACCCTTCCACGGTGTGGGCAGCCGGGAAATGACACCAGCCCTCATACCCGTAACAGCACACGAGACCAAGTTAGTCACATTCAAATCCTTCCTACACCTCCTAATAACTCTATCATCTCCACCGCTAGCCCTCCTCACGTCTCTTTATCACCTCGCACCGCTAGGGCGAACGATCCGAGTACGCGGAACGTTATTCCTGGTCTCCTGAAACCACGCTCTAAACTACACGTAGGAGCTTTTAACGTACGAACACTGTGCCAAATAGGACAGCAGGCTTCCTTAGCTAGGACTTTAGAATCTCGCGCCATCGATGTGTGCTGCGTCTCCGAAACGCGCATACAAGATCCGAGTAGCGTCATTCATTTAACCTCACCATGCCAAAATAAAGAACCGACTCGATTTACACTTCGTGTATCTGGAAGCCCTGATTCTGCTTCCCGTGGCCTTGCCGGCGTAGGTATAGCATTGAGTCCTAGGGCAGAACTAGCTCTCTTAGAGTGGATCCCAGTAGACAGCCGTTTGTGCGCTGTCCGACTGAACGGAACAGTAAGAATCCGGAAAGATAGGGACACTCGTCGTTGCCTCTTCGTCGTTTCTACCTATTCTCCCACTGACTGCAGCTCAGATGATGTAAAAGATGAGTTTTACAGAAAGCTTTCCGACCTTCTCCGAAAAGCTAGGCGCTCTGATGTAGTCATAGTGGCCGGTGACTTTTATGCTCAAGTAGGTAAACTAAGCGATAGGGAAAGACACCTAGGTGGAGCATGCTAGCTAGTTTGGAAGCAGCATCTGCATCTGGTATCTGTCAAAAGCTCCTTCAATTGATCCGAGTCGTTGGGGGGGGGAAGAAGCTTGACGTGAGTGAAGCAATCTAGGGAGTCGATATATAATATTTAACGAGACCTTGGACAGTGCGCAGAGTTTTTTCGAACGACATTTTGGCCGTCCACCAGGTTTGCCTGCCCATCATGACCAGTGAAAACTGACCCACCTGACGGAGAGGTGGCCGCCTAGGAATCCCAACTTCCGGAGCGTCACAAATCGTCAGGTCCGAACGACTCACTCTGGCGAGCTTCTTGTTCAGGGAACCAACTAGATTGTTTGGAAAGATTTACGAAGTAGAGAGTGTTCTGCCATCCTAAAATCAAGCGACAGTAGTCCTAGTCCTTAAACTGGGTTTAAGTCATCTATTCTACAAAGATCCAGAATAAGTTTACTTTCAATCGATTCAGAACTATTGGTTTCCGTTATAACTCACACTGAAACATATAAAAGACTGACTTGCGAGAAGCAGACCGGCTTTCGTCCTGGTTGTTTATTTATTGGTTATAATTTTCACCCTCTATGAAATTCCGGCGTTACGCCATACTTACTGCAAGCTCTGTATACAAACACATCAGATAGAGTGAAAGCATACAACCACCTCTCTCCATCGTTTCATTCTAGCAGTTCACCAGCTTACATGATTCCCATTTTTTTCCTGACGTATATGAAATACTTAGGACAGCAATGGTGATCATTTGTTTGTTATAGGCTCAACACATTTCATTAATCAATCATAGGTTCTTTACAAACTACAGATATCAAGCAATAATGAATTACGAATTTATTCTCCATATCCAATATATTGTCTTTTCATTAGGATCGAGGGATTGTGAAGACTTTAATGGTAGTTAACACCATAAACTGGCTTAGCTAGACAACCGTTGAAGATCGGAGAAAGAAACTCTTTCGTCCTAGACATCATGTGTTTTCTGGTTTTCAGAAGTAGTGTCAGTCAGTCAGCTACAACGTAAGACCAGGCACATACGTGCATCGGTCCAAGTTGCTATACCTCATTAGCACAACAAGATGAACACCAAATTCATAGTAGTTACTCCAATGGTAGTAATATATAAAAGAAAGATTGTGTATAAGGATATAATACAGGAAGAAAGAATTGGTTCAACAGTAATGTAGCTAAAGCTAATTTGTAGTGTAAACTATTTCACATTTTTTACATAACTGACTGACCTCATCTAGATAACCAGTGAAACCATCAAGCACCGGACAGCTGTTTTATGATGGTACGGGGCTCCTCAGAAGCGGGCACCCACCATCTCACTTTAGATCGAACTGAGGGCCTACGGGCTTAGTGTTCAGCTTAAAGCTTTATACTATTAAGTCTTCGTTCATCACTAGTGGCTGATTGCGACAGATTATTCTCCGTGTTCTAGTGAGATATTTAATTCAACCTTGTAGGGTGTCTGACATTTATCCACCGATGACATTGTAAGGTGTTCGCGTAATATCAAGGTTCGATTATAGCCGGTGATGTATACTTCTGAATCCAGACTCAGTAGTCTGATGTTGGGCGTTTGCCTTCAGATCTGGGGGTCTTGAGTTCAGTCCTCGGTGGGGTCGTGAATACTCCCTGACGGGTAGTTCCATTCTAGATCGAAACAGCCGCCCCACGGTTCCTTATTCTAAAGATTTATGCAGCTAGTATCATGTTATGTAAACTATAAATCTCTGCAATCTAAATAAACTCCTATTCTAATTATCTCCATATTGGTTCACACACATTTTTATTTCAGAAAGCTTGGAATTCGTTTGTAATGTAATATGTTTTGGAATGCTTATTGACTGATTATCTTCATGTTGTAATCATGTGATCAAGATGTGCTTGTTGTGGGGTGGATAACGAGTCAAGCATTTTGATTTTTGTGTGGAACTTTCTTTACTAACGTTTTGCAGTTGAGGACGTTGACAAAGTGTTTTATTTAAAGTATTTTACGTATTCGCATCAGTTCACCAAATACCTGGCAGATTAAGTAATTTCGTTTGCATGACTTGGTTATTTTTTGTTCACTTAAACATTACCCAGAATGTATACACTTCCTTACCCAATATTACATAAACAACTTCTGTTAAATACTGTGTTAATTAAAAAAAATCTAATTCTTGAATGATATCCGTTCACTAAAGATGTCTAGAATTGGTCAGTTTTATTAGCAAATTGATCAAAATGACACCGTACAAATTAATTGATGTTTATTACTAGATTTCCTCGTAAAAGCCTTCAGAAACTGTGAGAAGGTTGAAAAAATACG